GCTCTTCTAATCTTGGAAATGCAATTTTGCTTTTTATCTGGGAGTCGGAAATTGAGTAGAGAAGCTTTTTACCAAGTCAAACATTGCCTTTACAAGCTCTTCTGTCTTTTCAACATGTTAAAAAAATTATTTCATGACAACTTTCAGTCCTCAGGGATCTGAGTAGCAAAACTCAATCCTAATATTGAATTTAAAATTGCATTTTCGAAATGTAGTTGTTTCTGGATGCTAGAAATTAGTGGACAAGGCTCTTCTTGACCTCTAATCCTTCCAAAGGCAACTTCCAGAGTCAGAATAAAGCAATGAATCAAGAAAGTCCAGCTCTAGGATAAAAGTACTTCTAATCTTGAAATGCAGTTTTGCTTTTTATCTCTGGGTGTTGGAAATTGCAATAAATCAATATCTATTTCGCTGTACCAAGAGTAAAATCCGGAAAGCGCTCTTTAAAGTTTTGGTGTGTTGCGCAAAAGGCGCTTTACGCTTAACGATTAGTGGCAGACTGCGATCTTCTAAAGCTTGCATCCGTGGCAAATGCCACCTTCGCCACGCCCTAGTTACGGCACTGTTACTCCAGAACAGAAATCAACACCTTAAATTTTACCCCAGAAAAGGTAGAGATCGCCATTAAGTCCCCAATGGTGAACTCCAGCCCTGGACTACTTGATGAGATCCCTCCTATATTTCTTAAAAATTGTTTGCACACTCTAAAGGGCTAAAGGGGCCTCTGGCAGCATTTATGAATGACATATAATATCCACAGGAGATTTTCGACAACCTTGGAATAAAGCAGTTGTTATGCCTATATTCAAAAAGGGTAACAAAAAGCTGGTAGAAAACTGCAGCCTGACCAGCACCTTATGTAAATGTATAAAAAAAATCATTGCTAAGGAACTCACTCGCAAGCCTTTTCCTCGAAGCCAATACTATATATCACCCCAAAAACATGGTTCTGCTTTTACGAACCTCTTAACCAAATTCAATATGTGGACAATGGCAGATGATGAGAATGATCCAATTGATGTAGTTTTCTTTCAAGGATAATACACACTACTACTACAGGATAGCCTATCCTCATAAGGCCTGTGTGGAACAAATCTGAAGCCCCCCGCCACGTCAAATCACCGTGATGTAGGCAGCATGTCATTTCTTGCCTTGACCTAGGCTGTTTGCACCACAGGTTATGATTTCGCGGGCTTGTGCTTTATGCATACTTGGTTTTACTACATTAATTAACATTCTAACACAACTCTTTTTTAGATCTCGTTTTCATCTTTTTCTTTGCCTATTATGTTATTCAAAATTAATTAATAATTCTTTTCATTAATTTAAATTCTAAGCTAGTGCAAACAGCTGACGACTTAGTTAATGATGTCGGAAATGGTGACACACCAATATGGCGGCGATTATCAAAAACCAGACCGATAAGCAATTCTTAGTAGGTTTTCCCTTAAGTGTGAAAAAGCATTTGATATGATACCAACAATATACTTATTATACAAACCATCTCCTTTTAGAGTCAAGGGCGACTTCTTGAGAAATTCCTTACTCAAAAACTCAAACTCAAAATCTTTATTTAAATAATTGCTTATGTTGCACAATTCAGGTAGGGAGGTTAGGCCCCCCTCAAACTTAAATATATACAACAATAACTTATACTAGGACATACAACTTAAAACTAAAAAACTCCAGTGCGGCGCAGCGCACTGTGCCCCAGACACGCCTGGCGTGCTGTGTGGGCGTGTTTTAGCACGGTCCGATGTTTTGACCTAAAAGCCTCTGTCCTATCCTTGATTGACTCTTTTCGCAGCGTTACCTGGTCTCCCTTACGCGCTGTTTTAATGACCCTGGAGTCGCTGATAACTGCCATGGTATGGCAAGCATTGGGCCATTACATGGCCTACCAAATGATGTGGTGTTGGTGGATGCAGGGATATGGGTTGCTGAGCGCACAGCGCCCGTTGTGTGGGGAAAAATAATTAAAAAACCCCACTTCTACTTTACTTAATATTTTATAGAAACAGAACAAAAAATGTTGTGCCCTTGTGGGCGGTTTGGTCCTAGGGACGCGGACTCAACAGCAAAGGCTGAGCTCTAGGGGTAGGTGTTTTAAGGGGTGTCAGAGGACGAGGGTTGGGGGGATTGGGTGCAAGAATTTACCGGGATTGGGATCAGCATTTATCAGCTAAATTGGGCAATTTTGCCTATAATTGTTGGTCGGATTGGGGGTGTTTTGATGGTAATTAGACAAGTGGTTTCCTCATAGTCAGCGAAAGAGGAGTTTGCTACACACTAGTTCGCTGACAAGTTGGAATTTTCCGAAGAACTGAGGGTTGAAATTAGACCTATGACTGGATTTGCCTGAGTCTCCTGCTTAGACTAAGGCTATTGGCGCCAGCGCCAAATCTCTCTTGTCTAATTATGTCTCGGCGATTTGGATTTTAGCTGTGCATGGATGGGTTGTTTTACTTAATTTTGGGTGTGTGGTTTGCAGGTTTGGGATGGGGAAGGTTTCATGGGGGTTCAAAATAGATGGGTAAATTCTTGTAAGGCCGTCCGTGAACTATGGGGTTGTCTGGATCATATCTTGTTGCAGTTAAGCTGCGTGTGAGGGGAGAACCTTGAGTTTGATGACGATAAAACTTGTCGCTGATTTCGTCCAGGTACTCAGAGATATAAGGAATGGATGCTTCCGCATGCATATCCCTTATCCTGGCGTACCTGGACTCCGACAGGACTCCCCTCAGAATGCGGTTTTGGAACCGCTGAAGACTATTCCTTTGTGTGATTGAGATGATGTTCCAGACAGGGGCCCCATAGGTTAACATTGGTCTCAAGACCTGTTTGTAAATTAATAACTTATTATTATTATAAAGAAATTCCTTACTGGATGTACCTACCTTTCAGGGCCCTTATTCTCGAAACAGGGGAGCAGCGTTCTCGTGAGATGGTTCAGTCTTGGGACCCTTGCTCTTCTTGGCGTATTTATGTGACTTATACCAAAAACTGAAGACCAAATATACTTAAATCGTTTGCAGATGACACACGCCTATCCTGCAATCCACTATCACAGTTTGCAGATACTGTCAAAGCGTGGACAATGTCTTGGAAAATGTCTTTGAATGACCTCAAGTACACAGTTCTACATATCGGCCGGAATCATCTTGAACATGATTACCTCCTCCAACAAACGTCAATTAAAGTCTATACGAAGTTACTTGGACCAGGCCTAAAATAGTGGTATGGTCAATATACCGCATCACATATTGAAAAATATAGCAAAATTTATACTGTTTGCTCCTCGTACCGTTGAATTCCAGACAAGTAGGGATGGATAGATCTGAATGGCCATTGCCGATTTTTGATTGGCCGACATACTGTTTCTGTTCATTCCGCTTAGTGGGGTGATATGATTGTCGGTATGAGAGACAGTGCAGTGCATTACCTATTCTAGTTTGTTTTTATTTATTTATTATAGCACTTTTTTAAAAAATACGCCGCCCATGTTTGACAAAGAAAAACCGACTTAGCCGAGATGTTTTTATACTAGTCCAAGTGACTTTGTATAGACTTTAAAAAAGTCTTGTGCCATAAGGACCTAAGAATATCAATTACATCAGAATTGAAATGGGAACAACACACCACTGAAATGATACAAAAAGCCAATTCACTAATCTACCTCATTCAAACATCTTTAAAAAATCTAGCTAAAAAAATGGTTCTAAAGCTCTATAAAACTGAGAGACTCTGTGGTCTCATCGGTTATCCATCCGCTTACCACTGATAACGATAACCATAATAATAATGATAAAAATAATAATAAAAATCCCCATTTCTTTGCTGCTCTCGATACGTTCCAAGAAGTCGAGTCCTTTTGAAGTTTTTGAATGAAACTGTATGTATGAGTTTGGCATTTGTCTTCTGGAAGGGAATAAATACCCCCAGATTTTCCTAAAAGCTTGAAGGAACTCTTATTTTAAACCATATCATGAGAACCAAAGTTTTTCCGGGAGCTTAGAAATAAGCCTCGTCTCAGAAATCTCTTACCAGCTCAACAACACAGCTCAAAATCAACACTGACCAACCCGTTTGAAAGACCTAACAAGTGGACACTAGAATAATAACCAGGAATCGTTTGATGTAATCTATGCCAACTTCTTGAAGGCCTTTGACAAAATACCTAGAAAAGTCAGCATTTCAGAATTTGAGGAAATATACTAGAGCTAATTAGGGCAGGCTGTCTCTCTGACCTTACTTTTCAAATAGGAATAGGTAAATTTCTTGCAAACCCAATTCAAACTACCAGTCGGTTCGGTAGTAAAATTATAGTTAAAGTTACTTATACACAACACTAACTGTCAGGGTCCGAATTCTTGAAACAAGGGAGCAGCATTCCCAGGAGAATGAGTGTTCCGTCTTTGTTACTTATATTATCATTTGCATATCATTGAGAAGAGAACTGCTCGTTCTCCTGGGAACGCTGCTCCCCTATTTCAAGAATAAGGACCCAGGTGAATCGCCACAAATTCCAGAATACAATTTAATAATCTTTTCGGCAGACCTAGTGTAAGACCTTTTTTAGCTGTTTCAGTTGGGTTTGCAATAAATTCATTATATCATGTGCATAGTGCAGTTCTGCAGAAGTCAGTTCAAAGCGAAACAAAAAAAAATGCATCTCACACTACTCCTGGAAGTACCCCTGCATCCCGTTCATACAACTATAGGAGAATGTATTTGATATTAAATCTTGCGTCGCCGAACTGCAAGATAACACAGTACTGCATATTGATCAAAACAATGCCAAATCTGACTATTTACTTCAAAAAACTTCAATTTTAGTATAATTTTTTTGGAAAAATGGTTCCAAATACCATATCATATAGTTACTTTAAGCAAAAAATCAAACTTTCAATCATTTATTTGAATAGGAATACAAGTGTGTCCGAATAGTTCATCATTGCTAAAATAAACAAATTATTAATTCATCGGAAATCTTTTTTAAGATGGGTTCCTTCCAGGGCGCTCGTATGGAAGAAAGACTGGACGACGCCATAAACGTATTACGAAACCACGCGGAATCACAAATAAGTTTAGGACAGTTGCCAAATAGTTTAGCCCCCCACCAGATCACGCAGCTCGGATACGCGGCGCCGCCCTCCACCGATCCCCATCTGCCTGACCCTGTCAAGTCGGAACGACCCACATACAATACAAGTAAGTGTTATTAACTTTTTTCTGTCCTATGAAAAAGTTTTATATTTCCTGGATTATGATGATTCTATTTCAGAAAAACGTAAAGAGCCTCCAGATAGCGATACCAAACCTTCAAGCTCAGTAGAATCGAGTATAGCACCGAATTCAACCAGTGGAAAATCTTCGAAAAGGTCGAGGAGATGGTATGTTACAGATCATATAGATTTTCTTGATAATGGAATGGATTTTAAAAGGCATTGTTGGAAAAAAAATTGGCTTATTTTGAATATCTGACTTCTTTTAAAATACATTTTGTATGGGTTTTATATTCAAAAAAAAGAGCCTGTTCATGTATAACCAAATTTATCTTTTAACTTCTTGACTTGTGGGAAACTACTACCAATAGTTGATTGTGTCGAAAAAACGCATATTTTGTAAACTGTTTTCATTGTTTTTCACTAGTAACACGGATGATGATGAATCCGAGGACACAACCACCAAGGCCGTACGCGAAAAAGAGCGTAGACAGGCCAATAACGTGCGTGAACGGTATGTAACTAAAAACCAACCAGAACCACTAATTTGATTACATACTTTAAACTCTTTTTAACTTTTTGTAAAGTCTGTTTGAGTGGAAATCTTTACCAGTGTCAAACAATTCTGATGGACGATTAATAATTGAAATTTTGTGAAAAATATTTCCATATAATTCAGAAAACTAAGAAGCAGCTAACAATGACGAGAATAGATGTACATACAGTATGTAAGAGTATTAATAAATAGAGTTGAATAAAGAGAGATGAAAAAATAATCTACTACTTACATCGTAAAAAAGGTAATAAAAAAATACTTTTTTCTTAAATATATTCCCACTGTATTTGTCTAAGAATTTCTCTCTCCAAACGCATTAAGTAGTAGAAACAAGTGTTGTTGTCCCGAGATGGATTAAAAAAAGTAAAACATCAACAATTTTAGCCTCATCATAATATTCAACTTCACTAACTTAAGAGTCCCTGTCTTTTGGTTCAAGATTTTCACAAAAACAGTCAAAGAGTTTAAAGTGATAGACAACCCCTTTCCTCTTTGGTCCATATTCATATTACAAATGTTACATTTATGCAACTAATGTGTAACATTCGTTTGACGAATTTGGCCTACGCATGCACCAGTAGATTTTGTAATAATCTCCTTTGTTAACTCACTTGTGTATTTAGAATGAACACATATGAATATGGGCCTCTAAACTCATTCCTCATGTGTGTAAATTTGGAATGGGAATATTTATTTCAGAATTTGAACGTAGTCCTGTGCAATTTCGAATAACATGTCATTTTTGTTGTTGGGTGGGAAAATAGATACTTTCAATAGGAAATATCAATTTTTCAGCGAGATACAAAAAAATGAACTCCCCACTCAAATGTCATGAAATCCTAAATGGTGCAAACCAAATTTTGATATCTTCAACCGTTTAGCCGCTAGAGGGCTGAAGGGCGCTTTCTAAAAATGACATAAAAAAATCCAGGCCCGTATCTAAAAAAATGATGATGGTAGCTCGATCAAGAAACGTTGGATTTAAAATTTGAAGATACCATGCAGTAGAGCGAAAAAATTATAAAACTTTCCAATTTAAATTGTGCCTCCAAAATCAATAGTTTTCAAAATAATTGATAAAATATTTTTGAGTGTTTCTTAAAAATCACCCTTTATTTCATAAATTAAAAGGAACTTGGCAACACTGTAAACGAGTCTTAACTGGGCATCAAAAAAGACAACTTTCTTCTAATTTAACCTACCTTGAATATACACCCTGCATAGGGTGTCCTATTGAAAAAAACCGGACTTTGGTCAATATCTCGGAGTTGGGGCCAACTAGAAAAAAGCTAAGAACGTCACTGAATTCTGCTAAAAAGAGTGCTTTTAGAAAGTTTTTACGGAAATCAATTATTTTCATAAACAAAAAAGCTATGATGGTTTCACATTATTGCTCAAAATCGAGAATCGCCCTCTAGCGGCTAAACAGCTGAAAATATCAAGATGCGGTTTGCTCCAATCAAGATTTCATGAAATTTGAGCCTCAGAGTGGGGGTGTTAATTTTTTTGTATCTTGCTCAGAAATTAATGTTTCCTATTAAAAATGTCCAAATTGGCCCACCCTGTACACGTCGTTTTTGTCTACAAAAATAACAAACTAGAAAAACGGTTTTTAAATTTTTGCAAAATGGGTGTGATTTTCGGAGTTTATCCATTCACTTCTCCCTGAGCCTCTGAATCGATTCAGAATAATTTGTATTTTCAAATAAACTTATGTAGTTATCTCTTGCGCTTTTAATATTTCCAAAACACTAAGCGCTAAAGCGTTATCTGAATAATTATTATATTTTTATTGTTGCTCAAATTTGAAAAGGCTTTTATTTCATATGCTTTATTGTCTTATATTGTAAAATTTAATTGACAACTAAATTAAAATAAAAATAATTTATAAAATAAAACAAACAAAAATATATATAAAGTTTGTTTCGCCAGGGTTTGTACTTGCCACCAGCATTTGCCTTCCTTGTTTAACAATTAAAAATTGACTGAAACAAATCAATGACATCAAAAACGTTCGTCGGTTCTTAAACCAGAAGTCATTAATTTTAATTTGTCAAAAAACTTGAATGTGTCATATGCATTAATCTACAACAACCCTTTTTTTTCAAGTTTCAAGGTCAAGTATGAACCCTGGTGAAACGAACCTTACATTGTTTACATAATAACGGGTCTTCGAAAAAAAAAAACAATCTAAGATTGCTCTGATTGCGAAAACGTACGTCGCATTATTGTTTTTTTATTGGTCCGGATTTTTGACATGACATTTTGACATTAAAGTTGATTGAGAAAATTAAAAAATATACAGGGTGTCCACTTAGTGCAATATCGGACAATATCTCCTTACAGGGTGATGCAAGAAAAGAAATTTAAATCACAAAGTTGTTTGATACTCTAATATGCATTAGTTGAAAATACACATCGCACAAAAATTATCGCATCACCAATGCTTTTAAATATTTTGGCTACAGTAAATTTATTTTAAAAATTTCTCAAGTATTCCTTGAATGTGCATTCTTTAACTGAAAAACTCGAGTCAAAAAACATGTCGTTTCTTCTTCTGTTAGGTTCTTCTTTACTTTTTTCGGGAAAATGCGGATAGGCATACATTCCACTTTGCAATTATGCTGTTCATTTCTGTGTTTTCTGCTTTGATAGATGCGATAATTTTTGTGCGGTGTATATTTTTGTATATACAGGGTGCTCCGTTTATGTGGTATGCGACAGAACATTGTTAATTTAAATGAAACCCCCTGTATGTGATTGCATATTTGGATTCTACATAAAATTCTGAGCAGATTTCAGGTAATACATCCTATACCTAAGTTTAACTGTTTTGGAAATATTGTCAGTTGAAAATTGACTTTTTGCAACTTTGACAGGCCGTAAAACCTAAATAGTTAATTTTAGATGAAAACCGATTTTACATTCCTGTCTTAGATTTTTATAAACTATCATTCGACACCAACTTTGAATTTAATCCATGATTAAAAATTTCAGTTAAATTTAATCTCCGGTTAAATTCAAAGTTGGTGTCAAATGATAGTTTATGAAAATCTAAGACAGGAATGTAAAATCGGTTTTCGTCTAAAATTAACCATTTAGGTTTCACAGCCTGTCAAAGTTACAAAAAGTCAATTTTCAACTGTCAATATTTCCAAAACAGTTGAACTTAGGTATAGGGTTTATTACATGAAATCTGCTCAGAATTTTACGTAGAATCCAAATATGCAATCACATACAGGGTGTTCCATTTGAAATAACAAAGTTCGGTTGCATACCCCATAAACGAAGCACCCTGTATATTCAAAAATATTTTTAACTAATGCATATTAGAGTATCAAACAACTTCGTAATTTAATTTTTTTTCTTGTATAACCCTGTAAGGAGATATCGTCCGATATCGCACTAAGTGGACATATTGCTAAGACATACGTTTAAAAAACCATAGCAATCTTTGATTGTTTTTTTTTTGAAGACCCGATACCATAATACCAACCTGAAATTTTTGTTTTGATAAAAATCTCTAAACACAACTCTGAACCATCACAAAATAGGCTCGGCTTTTACCTCAATAGCACATGATTGTGAAACTTTACCCCATTATAAAAAGGTAGAAACAGGGTAGAGAGAGGTCTTGGAAGCCCTAAGATTATTGTTCTAATGAGTCACCAGGGATGCCTTGATTTAGAGTGAAGCTTACAAACCGTCTCGAGAATAAACAGATAGGAAAACATTAAATTACTGTTCCGAGAAAAGAGGGGCCTACAATGAGTTCCTGGAGGATCCTGACAAATAAAGCGAAGTGCCCTTTTCTGGAAATTGAAGACCTGATAAGATAACCATTTTTTGTAAGAGCCCCAACAAACCATATCGTTGATCTTGCAAACACCATGGAGGTGATTACATTTAAAGGCAAAGAAAAAAAAAAGACGATACTACCTCGAGGTACTCCCGATGTAGCCCTGTAGTTTGCAGAAACTGTCAGATAGATATGATTGTAAAAATTGAAATGATTCCGCTGACAAGCCATAGTCAGCCATTCTATGGAGCAGTATATTGTGGGAAATCTTATCAAAGACTGCTTTTGAGGCATATTTTGAAAAAATATGCAAATATTTTATACAGTCTACCTCTCTGCAACAAACCCATGCTAAAAAGGAGAAGAAATTTTTTGTATGTTGCAAATCATTTCTGGCCATGATTCTGGAGCTACGGGGTATCGGTGAGGGAAATGCAGTTGTAAAAAAAAGGCTGATTTCATTCATAAAATACTCAGCTGCCTGCGGAACTTCTTGGAAGTATATAAGGTCTGTTTCAATCGACATGAGAACCGTTCTAAAACGGTAATTTCCAGTTGATCAATTATTAATTTGTCAATTAGGATAAACGTTCAAACTTATTGAAAAATAGGTGGGCAACTGGAAACTACTGGTTCTGGTACGATTCTCATCTCAGTTGAAACAGAGCTGTAATATCGTATTGCAACTCGTACACGAAAATCGACAATGAACAAAAAAAAGCCACTGGATACTTCAATATAAATCGATATTTCAGGATGGGAGGATAAAACAGAAGCCCTGGCCAATAGCCTCATGGCAACTGGATGGTTCTCCATGGCAATGGCGAATGTGCCAGAAACTTTACCAATCAGGTTCATCCAGGCCAGATGTTTTCCGAGCTGACAGAAGCTGATGGTATCTTTAGAAAATGTTTAGATTTTATGTCAGATAAAATTGAAAAAAATCAGTTGATGAATAAAAATAGATTTTCAAATGAAGTATACTTCTAGCCTAGTATTTTCGCTTTTTTATAATCAAACGTGGCAACATCGCACATTTAGGTCCGAATTTCTTCTGTAGCTTCAGACCCACTGGCCAGACATTAGGTCTATAGCTGAGTATGTCATTTTTTGCTGCCATTTTTATATACGGGTGTGATAATAACTAGCTTCAAGGCAT